GCATATATGGTTCCCACTTTACAATAAGCGTCACAAAGAGCATTAACAAATGGTTAATAAAGGTTAAGTAATGGTTACTCACTACTGTTATACATTTTTAAAGAGCATTAATAAATGCGTAATTACGAGTAAGTAATGCTTACAGTATACAGCAGGGGTGGGCAAGTCAGGCCATAGAGAGCTACCACCGTGCATCCTTTCCAACTATCCATGCCCTGCCCACTGCTGCATACCTGCATCATGTGTGTTCAGTCAATCAGAAGCTGGAAGATACCACCTTAGATGAACGTGGAGCGAGGACAAAGTGAATTCGTTGGTTGGAGGATGGACAAGTAAGTGGACAGTTATTATGCTTAAATGAACATTAAAACAGCCTTCTCCTAATGAAACTGCTAAGCTGTGAACTTCGTGAAATAAATGTTAATATCTTTATTGACAATTTACTAGTATTACCAAGAGACATTTAAGTTGTTGAATGCAATGCTTATTATTGTATTATTTAACGTTTAGTTAATGCTTATTACTGCATCAACAAATGTTAGCGGTGTCGTTAAACACTATTAAATAATGTATGAGGTAATACTTTAATTAACATGAAAAACATTAGTACATGATTAATAAGTGCATTAGTTACCTATTAGTTAATGCTTATTACTGCATTAAGTACAGTTAATTAATGTACCCTTATTGTAAAGTGTTACCAAAAATATGACAAAAATAAAACACTAAACAAGTACGACAGAATAGGATCACTTAAGACCAAAAATACAGGTGGCTGAAAGATGATTTATTCCATTATTTAACAGTGCATACATGCTACATATGCACTGAACAGACAACCTTTCTTTCTACACTTATTTTTCTATTTGTGTGTGTTGTGTGTGTTTGTCAGTGTGAGGGTTATCAGAATCAGCACCAATGGGTGGAAAGTGCCCTCATGGTCACCACTGGGACGCCTTGATCAAAACATGCATGTCCTGTCATTTGGTATGCCAGCAAAAACATGCACCCAGCAAGTGCACCAGCTACTGTGGTGAGTACACACTCATGTCTACACAGAAATAAGGACAGAGGTAAAAGAATAAACACAGTTTGAATTCATAGTTGTAAGAGGATCTGAAATTCAAATGTTCTGTGACTCTGCACACTGAAGCTGTTACCACTGCCCCAGTGGACTGCTAACTATTTGATTTGATTTGATTTGATTTATTCTTTCAAGCATATAAAACAGTTGATATAACAACACACATTTTCACACACAATCCAATCCATTTGCTTATACCTAGTACATGCTTGAATGGAGTAGGAAGAAGTCAGACTTATCCAGTCCTACCCCATGACATCATCTTACCATCATTGGTTTGCAAGCAGTAAATGATTCACTTCTACCCACACACATATTATACTAAAAAAAAGAATATAACAGTGTTAACATTTTACATCACACAAGTAATATACTAAAGAAT